TCCTCACCCCCGCCAGGACCCCCGTCACCGAGGAGACCGCATGAGTGCGCGAGACCGGAACCTGCCCAGAGACCTGAGCGGACGCGTCGTCTTCATCACCGGCGCCGCGCGCGGCATCGGCGAGGAGACCGCCCGCCGCGCCGCCGCCCGCGGGGCCCACGTCGCCGCCGTCGGCATGGAGCCCGAGCGGCTCTCCGCACTCGTCGAGGAGCTCGGTCCGCAGCACTGCTGGGCCGAGTGCGACGTCACCGACCAGGCCTCGCTCGACGCCGCCGTCGCCACGACGGTCTCGGCGCTCGGCGGGATCGACGTCGTCATCGCCAACGCCGGGATCGCCAACCAGGGCACCGTCGCCCAGAGCCCCGCCGACGTCATCGCGCGCGTGATGGAGGTCAACCTCATCGGCGTGGCGCGCACGGTGTCGGCGACGCTGCCCGAGGTCGAGAAGCGGCGCGGCTACCTGCTGCTCGTGTCGTCGCTGGCCGCGTTCACCGCGCTGCCGGGCATGGCGGCGTACTGCGGATCCAAGGCGGGCGTGGAGAACTACGGCAACGCGCTGCGCTTCGAGCTGGCCCACCGTGGCGTCGGCGTCGGCACGGCACACATGGGCTGGATCGACACCGACCTCGTGCGCGACGTCAAGGCCGACTCGTCGACCTTCGAGGACACGCTGAAGAAGCTGCCCTACCCGCTCGGCGCCCTCACCTCGGTCGGCGACTGCGCCGACGCCTTCATCGAGGGCATCGTGAAGCGCAAGCGCCGCATCTTCGTGCCGAAGGCGGTGGCCCTGGTGGCCGCGGCGCGCCCGATCACGTTCTCCTGGCTGGGCGACCTGCCCGTGCTGGCGCAGGCGAGGACGATGGTGCCGCGGCTCGAGGAGCAGTTCCGGAAGACGGGCCGCCAGTTCGGCGCCACGTCCGGCGGCATGGGCAAGGCCGCCCGCGCGGTCACGCCCGACAGCACCCCGTCCGACCCGGGCTGACGACGACGGAGGGCGACGGAGCGCCACCTCCTGGCG